CCTCACAGGTGATGTGGAAATCTATTGTTCCATATTTATTATCTTGTTGCATTTGTGACATGGACATTTCTGAGGCTGAGTATCACGCATCTTAGTTACGGGCGTTGTTAGCGCGTTTGGTAACTCGTTGTTAGCATGCGAGCGGCAAGGAGGGAACAGTAGGCGTCAATCAGAGAATCGAGCCGAAAGTTGCAACTAATTCCCATCTCTGTATTAATTGATACGCGTACTAAACAATCGGTATGAACTATAATAATATTGCATGTCTTATCTTTGAAATAAAAGATATAGGTGATGATATGTCCTCAAATCGATACCAAATCGATACCAAAATACCATTTTTTCTTAAATATACGGAAACAATTTTCTCTCGTATTTTACCCACACAGCACACATATCCAGAAGACATCCCGAAGATATCGTATCTCTCAAAGGTATTAAGAAACGTATTACGTTGAGACATCCCGAAGATACCTTTGAGAGATACGATATCTTCGGGATGTTCCTCAAACGTCCCCCGGATATGCATGCTGTATGGATACCTGAAAAAAAATGGTATAATATGATGAAATGTAAATATGTATAATTAGTTATGAAAAGATCTGATAACATGTAATATTTTATATAATCATATAAAATTACATATGTTATCATATCTTTTTATAACTAATTATATATATTTACATGTGACCAATTATACCATTTTTTCTCGGGTAGTATCAAATATAGATAAATATAGAAGATATGGAGTCTTTGGAGAAATATAAAAATATTTTGACTTTATAAATCGATATAACACAAAATAATGATAAAATCAATTTAAAAAAATTTTTGACTTAGCCCACTTTATAATCACCGGCAAATATAGAGATTACCATTACCATGTCACTGGTTGCTAAATATTTCAATACAACTTATACATTTATTAATGTTACTAGTAATACTATCAATTAAAAACAAGAACAATTGGAGCCGATTGCAATTCTTATCGCCACCCTTTTTTTGTTAAAAATTCTTGGCTTTTTAAAGAACTATAGTTCTAGGCTTTACAATCGCTTCAGTTTTAAATATTTGTCGGCAATAAATTTGACAAATTGTAACTAATAAAGTGTATGTTTCTTCTTTTTTTAACATACAACATATTTTTATATAAGTGTCATATGCATTAAATTGTATTAAAATTATTTATCAATAAATAAATTGTATAGTGGTTAAATATGTAATAATATTTTTTTTTAAACAATGATTATTTTTAATAAATAAACCTAAAAACTAGATACCTTCCAAGCAAAGCAACAGCACGCTCATTAATAACTGCGCAAAAATGGCCATATTGAAAGCGTATTCGAGACTGTCAGCCAGTCTTATCAGACGGCAATGCCTGCCGATTAACATCCGTAATCTCTGCTTGCAGGCTCGCTTTTCCACCTCGATGTTGGCAAAGTCCATTTCGAGCACCTCGAATTGCCCGCATAGGTGCATCGTGAGGCCGAAGAAGAAGCCGTCGTTCCCGCAATGCGAGGTTGCGTTGACGAAGATCTGCGCAACTTGCAGCAGCAGGATGCAGCTGTGAGCGATCGTGGGCAATGTTCCGAAAACGCAATAAGTCGCCAGAAAATACGTCGATAACGCCGTGTCGTTATCATTCACTTTGGATATATTCAGCCACGGTATCAAGCTGTCAAACGGCAGAGCCATGAAGAGGAACGACACGCCGGATGCATAGCCCAGATACAATATCGTCAAAGATACCATCCTGCCGACATTCGTGTATTTCATCATGATCTCTCGCTGTTGAGTATCTCTGGATATCGACCAGTCGTCAATGAGCGAGGTGACCAAAGCGTAAGTGTGCCTCCAGGTAAGACGAACGACGAGGAGCTTGGAGAGGCTGACGACAGACGAGAGGTCCATTAGAAAAGCTTCCATCATGTCCTCGGTGCCGAGGCACTGCCGATACGCTTCCAGAGACAGGCTGATGATAGTACTGATCTAATCGTTGACGGGATCGCGTTAATTTGCGACATTCTTTTATTTCTAATTATTCATTCACAGCTAATTATTTATTCTCGCAATAATTAGTTGTGCGCAGTTACAGCTAATTACAGTTAACTTATCTCAATTATCTCAATTCTTTAAATTCTTACATATGTTTTTCAAAAAAAAAAAAATTACCGCAATTATCTCAATTTTTTAAATGTTTACAGATGTTATAAAAAAACTTAGAGGCATTTAAGAGACAAAGATATGTAAAAAGATTTGTAAAAAGAATAACGAGAATGGAGACATGTTTTAAACATATTGTTAACTTTATCTAATAATTTTAATTGCGTAAATAATTATTTCACCGACACTTACCTGGATCAAAACAGCTAAGAAGCACCGTACGATTGACTTGAATTCTCCTGCATTCAAAGGCCAAACTCCAATTATACTTAGAACTTTTTCATAAAAATTTATAGCGTAATAAACCTCACTGTTCCAGTCTTTTGCTTTTTTCATTATTAAGAATGTCGTTGACACTTTTTTATATATTCCTTTTATATAAGAGTTAATTAAAAATTTGAATAAATTTTTACGTACTTTGCTCTGTACTGAACAAAAATTCGTCACAGCATTCTTAATTGTCAGTTTTATCAAATTAATGTAATAAATAATATTTTTAATTAATAAATTTTATCATTGCATAAACGCACTGTTAATAGATTTGCAAATATATTAAAATGCACTGTAATATTAATAAATTCAAATATATTCAATACGTATTTGATGTCAGTTTAATTAAGAATCCGATTTATGTTTTAAATACGAACAATTATTACACAAAAATCCACTGGAATTATCGATTATCCGTTTCAGCGACGTTTGTTCGATTTTTTTCTTCCTGCGCGTTCAAATTCTGGATTCGCTATGAACAGCACGGGGTGAGTAAAGCCGTCTTGCTATCCATGTCGTCGAGGGCGAGGCGTCTTCCTTTGATCTTTTATTCACGTGAGTAATGACATTACGCCGCACGGAAACAGAATCGACAAAACGAAATCACATGTTTCCACACGATAGGTCGCTTTGTGACCAAGAACTGTCTCAGGAAGTAAACTGTCCTTTAAATTTTTTTCTTATTACAGTCTCCGCCGAAAGTACATGTGCGCGAATACGAATTTATAGTATACAATGTAACATAACGTAAACAACAACGTGTCCCTTTTATTTGTGGCAAAAATATTAAAGGACGTACGAAAATTACTAGGTTGCATTTCACAAAACCAAAAGTGGTACATTTTATGCCATCGCAGTACGCGCAGTATCTTGTCTGTTATAAAACATTATTCTATCATTTTACTACTGTTAGCAGTTCGAGTAACTGAAACAAGAACAAGCAAGTGATATTAATGTGTATTGTTGAAGAAAAGCTCGAAACTTTTGTTACATTGCTAATTTCAAAATTTTTTTAATTAAATATTTTTTAAATCGATTAAAATCTAATATTTAATTTACAAATTTTGTATAAATTCGAGCGTGACAAGAATAACAAAAAAAAAATAAAAAAGTGTAGTCGACGATACCGTAATGAATAATATTTCAACAGTTGAATGTAACGTGAGAATTATTTATTCATTTAACATGACACGTAAGACCGAGAGATACGACGCCGTGGATTTTAAAATATCTTTGAACGTCATCATATTCATGGTTATAAATTTTCCAGCAGTCAGTTGATGAGGGATACTGGCTCGCATTAGAATAATCTGAAAATCTTTAGCTGTACTGGCAGGCAGCTCATACCAATCGCAGTCGTAAGTGGCATATGACAGCGCCGCGCTCCTCATCTCCAAGCAATCACCAGCAAACGTATAAAATGACAGCTGAATCATCATGAGTAGTAAAACGCTAGCGTTATGTATAATCATGGATAAATCGCCAAGTTGTAGCGAGACGATTAACATGAAGCCTAGAAGATATTACCGCAATATTAGACATAGAGTGTTCATTGAACCGGATTCTGCGAGATTCAATCGTATCATGAACATCACAAATTATCAAGTAAGTTTTTATAAGAAAACTAGCTTGTGATGTGCTTGCAAAGATTTATTATTTTTTTATAAAATAATTAATTTTCAATTTAAAAATTTAATTTTATAACAAACACCGTCTTGCAAACGGAGTCCAATTAAGAATTAATTTCACGTAAGCTCAGAAAATTTAGAAAGAATCTCTAGTTTTAACGATTTTATTGATGCATTGGAAGAGTTTATTACCATTTATACACATAAGAGTTGTGGTAACGAATAAATATATCAAAATGTTTGTATTGAACGACTCTTCCATACAGTCAGCCAAATGTATTAGATGACAATGTCTTTGGACTGCATTGGCTATCGCGTGACGCGTCTCGTCGACTGGGGAATCGGACAGCTTGACGCCCAACGCGTCAAACTGGGAGCACAGATGCATAGCCAGGCCGAAGAAAAAACTGGTGGTACCAAAGGTTGATATGCCAGTGATAAACATTTGCACAGCTTGAACGATCATGAACGCCTGATGCGACGATGGACTTCGAAACACACAGTACTGAACACCGTGGCTTGTGCTCGCGTTGTCGATCTCGTTGCCCGCTCTTGCTCTGATCGTTGATATTGCCATGGACATGTAACCACCCACTATGATGCCCACCAAAATGAAGGTAAGCACCGTTACGCGCGTTGACATCGACGCATATTTCTTCATAAGCCAACGAACCCTTTTATCCTGCTGCGTAGTCCAGTCATCCATCATGGAAGTGACTATCTCGTGTAATTTTGTTCGATGAATACGAGGTGTGATTAATCTTGTGAGAGCCAGCGCAGCAGCAGCAGCTGGTGTCACCGAATCAAAAGATTGTTTAGCGCCATGGCAGTGAAGGTAAATTTCGGTGAAATAAATGCTCATTGGCATTACCTAGAAATTTATAATAAAAGATCATCATACATGTTGTGACAATAAGATATAAAATTTTTCAAACACATGAAAATAGTATAGATGTAATAATAAAATTTATTTGATTTTAAAAGTTGTATTAATTAACATATGCGATAATAAATTTTAAATTTAGAAAATTGATAATGTCTATATTAAAAATTGTAATAAATTTAGCGAATTAGTGGTTGCATAGCAAAACACAAAAATGTTTAGATATTTACAGATTAATATCAATATCTGAAACACTTTCAATAAATTCAATTTTTATGGAATTCAATCTCCGCAAGCTAGACATGAATATTATTTACAAATAAGTACATATTTTATACTTGTTAAGTAAGGCTTTTCCATATTTCTCTTATAATTCATTGTTTTAATAAATATACACGTGTCATGACAGAAGCATACGTACCGAGCATAGGCATCTGCGGAACGAGAAGCACAGAAGATCCATTTTTACCGCATATCGCTGTGTCAAGTTTCGTCGAATTATAATGTATTAAAAATTCGGCGCGCGTGCACCGTTTGTAAGTGGATGCGCTTGTATCCGTGTGCGATACACATGTGCGATACGCGTGATTACATAACTATTGTGCTACTACGATCAGCTGATAGTAGTAACGAGTTAAGTCACAGTTGTGAGTCTTTGATTTATGCAGAGTGGCTGTATCGGTCGGTTTCGGCCTAGATCGGGACCACTCGGGATGTAAGGGACATGGCTTTTATAGCACCGTGACCCAAAAGCGTGAAACAGTCGCGGTCGACGCGCAGGACTTTAAGGTTGGGATATACGCGCGCTGAATTTCTAGGTTTGCTGCATCTTTGACGTGAGACACAATCGTGTGTCTCATGAGACAGCTTTGCAATCGCAAGGAATGTTTCTCAAACATGCAGTACAGTCTTGGAACGATTTATATAAATATATATGCTTTTCATACCGAAAAGGTTAATTTCTTGCGTTTATCTAGCGAGCGTTTAGAGCAATTTTTTAAACTCGTAAAAGACAGCTTTTTATTTTGATGCAAGAGACTTAATAGTTTTCCTGCTTTAACTATCGTATTAAGATTATGCACATTATTTATTATGCATATTCACATTCGACTTTGTATGTGAAATAAAATATTTTAACGATGCAGCTCTCATGTTACAATTTTTATGTTTGGAAGTTTTATTAAATAAATGTTATGTATGTAAAACTATTCAATATTTAACACTGCACATGCTATAATAAAAACTTTCAAATGCATAATAATTCTTTGCTTTCATCCGAATGTGAGATAAAACAAAACATCTGTTTAATTAAGTGATTGAACTGCAATTTGTTGCCTTCATTTTCTTTTGGACAGTAAACATAATTAGTTTGTTTCATAGACAGCATTTGACATGCATGCAAGTGCGCTCGGTAAATTATTTGTATTTGAAATTAAAACAATCAACAAAATTTTCAGCGATAAATTTTACGACGTTTTAATGCACATGTTATTCTCTTACGGTCACTTCTATTTTAAACATTTTTATCTTGCGTGTATATTTTAGTATAAAAAAAAATACGGAGTAATATTTAAATGTGATTTTACAACTCGCATAAATCAAGTTTGCTAAAATATAATATAAGAATATTTTGCCAAATTGTATTAATTAATGTATAAATCTTATTAAAATTTATAAAAAAAAGTATTTTACATTATGTTTGGCCAAAAAAAATGTGTTTGACAAAAATGTGTTAATATCATAGCAAATACTTAGCGGCACTTGCCTCGAAAAATACGGCGATAATCCATCTGAGATTTATGAAAATGTTTGTTTTCTTCACAGGCCAGATGCCAATGCAACTGAGGGCCAGTTTGTGCACCGATAATGTCACAATGTCTCTATGGAAGATCATTCCGTGTTCGAGGACTTCCGTTCTACGTATGCGAGCGCTTGATTAAAATGAGACACGTAGAAGTCTGTCTTCGTCTTTTCGAATCAAATCACCGCGTTGCATCTTTTATTTGCGTGTGACCATCCACAGCCGTACTAATTTTTTACAAGACACCGCAATGGAATAGCGATGAGATATTTTCTTGAAAAAAAAAGTTGCACGCTACGAATATGGCAGTCTACAAAACCGTTATATATCTTAAGGTATTCAGATATTATCAGATATTATTCAGGTATTATCTTATACTGGTTGCAGGTCTTATATGTCTCTTGTAAAAATATTTAAATCTTAAAATGTTGTCTTTCTCATAAAAGATACATGTAGTGTCATATCTGCACATTAACGTCGCAAAGAAAATTTTTTTCTCTATTTCCTTATTTATAAGCAGTGAGTTTAAACGTACGCTGTATTTTATAGCAGAGCCGAGATATAAAAAAGACGTATACATTTACTACGGCATACTTTCAATTTTTATTCTATTTTTTCTTGATAAAAAAATAGACGTTGCCTTATTATTAAATTCTTATTATAAAAAATTGCATTCAATTAATTTTTAAAACACGCGTATGTATATTTTTGTTTCATAAAAGGGAACGTCAATCGCAGGATTGGCCTTTTGCAACTGTATTCTTCGAGAACTGTTCTGGTTTCTTTCAGAAATTCACGCTCGTGAGAAGCCTTCTTCTTTCAACGTTAATAGAATCAATTAGCTCTCGTGCAGAATCAGGATGAGACGAACTATAATTACCAGTTATTCAAAAATTCACGAATAACAGTAGCAACCGGTTGTATGATCCTTCCCTACAATCGCGAATCACTTTGTGTTATGCTGCATGTGGTTTCAGGCGCGACCTTGCGATCTGCAAAAGGTCGGTTTCGTCGAACCCACATTCCCTAATTCTTCATAGGGTCAATGACTGTGCGCTGAGAGACTTTCGTGTGTATTTGTATCAGAGCCGGTTTCATCGCGCAGCAGCTATAGCAGAGAAGTTGTTACCGACGTCTTCATGGAAAAAACCCATGGAATTTCATGGAAGAAACATTTCGTCCGGTAAGACTTCTGGCTTATTCGGCATCCAAAATATATCTCTTTTTTTTTCCTCCATCCAATTAGATCATAAGATATCCTGTTAGATTGCAAAAAGGAAGCACGTCTCTCGCACAGCTGTAATTTACATACTATCGTGACCTCAATAAAAACTAGCAAAGCCACTCGATCTCGATAACGGTAATTTTCACTGTCGAGAATTCCACGAGAACGCATTTCAAGAGTTCATTTATCGCAATTATTATTGGCAGAATGTCGTTGATTTGATCCTTCATGGCGTTACGAGGCTACAGTGCCTGCGTCAGATGGAAGCATCAGGTGTCTATGTAAAATCATCTAACGTTAATAAACTGTATTGTATTATCAGCTGTCGCGGCAAGAGAGAATATCTTATAGTCGCTTAATTTTTAAACATTACATGTAATGACAGATTCCGCTATACTCTTTATTAATACAAAAATAGCTAAACAAGAAAGTGAATGAGCGGGCTTAAGTATTTTCGCAAATACGTCTTCCGGAATCTTATGACTTCAACCTTCTCTTTCGCTCGCGCACGTTTACTTGTTTTTTTTTTTTTAATTATTTCGGTATTTAGCACGATATTCTTTTTCCACTTTATTTTGTATAAAACATGTCTATTGTCATACAAATAATATTTCACGAAACAATTGTTTCAGAGTTAAAAGCAAGCTTAAAAAATTGTTCTTTTGCCATCAATTTCAAAACTGATCAACTTAATTCAATCTGATTTTAAAACTAATCTTAATTATTACAGAAAATTGTTTGTCCAACATTATAAAATTATTCAACTCTACAAAAGATATAGCGTTGAGCAAAATTTTAAACGCAGACGCGAAAATGTTTTTGGAGCAGAGGCGTGAGAATTTTAAGATCAGATAACATTCCGGCAGGGATCTGCATCGGGTCGGAGATATGCATGTACAGTGCATTGTACTGCTGGCTTCTACGCTCCAAAGCCAGGGGACTTGCCCAGGTAGGTAAGTACCGTTCGATGAGCTACGTCTTACGCCAGTCACGCTACAACCTTCGTCGTGTCCAGGTGTACGGGCTCCTGAAAAATCTTACACGTGTACAATTCGTTCGTAATTGAACGCAGGCATTGATTTTTCGTTAATTTCAAAGGTACGTGAAAAAAAAGATTGCCACGCATAACATTTTTGCATCCATTGTGTTTTCTATACTTTAATTTTTTAAATATTTGGACATTTGCGTGTTTTTGTAAATTTGTGTGATTGATACAAAAGATATAAAAATAAATCATAAGAATGTGAGAATAAGAGATAAAGTGTATTGTTGAAATTTCGTGTTTCAAGAAAAAGCTTTCGAATAAGGTTTTATTGAGATTCAAGCGTCGCGATGGATCGACGATGGCTGATTCGAAATATTGTGATTATCTTTGTATTTTTTATCTTATCTTCGTACAGATAATTTTTATTTTATAATTTTAGATAATTTTAAATTTTATAATAAACGTTAAATGCGCTGATTTGCATTTGACGTTTATGTATACAAATGTATTTTTTTATAAAAAAATATTTTGTAATAATAATAACCATATTCTTTGTTTACAGAAGTATTATAATATCTTGAAATTTAACCGGCCTTGATTTTTTTTATTACAATTTAAATATGTGACGTGCGCGCGAAGCTTCAAATGCAGCGCAAGGTGCAATTGTGTCGGCGAACATTCACTTCACGCATTCTACAGATTAAGCCTCCATAAATGTAAAATCTTCTGCGAGATACACGCAAAATTTTCCGCAGTAAATAACGTAACGGCAATTCGAGCTCCAATGATCGTATCGCCTTTCCACATTGGAAACACCATCGAACACGCTCTACTTGACTGCGACTACCGTTGCTGCTGGCGCGGCCACGCGAATTTTTCAACCGGCAATTCCGCCGCCACTATGTGTAATCGCAACCTACGACGGATTCGCTTATCTTACTAATCGTTGACAAATTTTAATCATATTAATTTGCTTTATTTGAGCTTTATCTGAGCTTTCTTTGAAACGTTTTAAGGCAACTGTTTTTGTATCTCATTATTAGTAAAAGTAAGAATGTCTCACGCATTTCAACTTGCAAAATCAACACATAATAAGATGTAAATTGAAATTGCAATGTGTATACTAATTCATGCAAAGATTTGTAGATATATATATATATATTTAGAAATTTATTCTACAATGACTAACATTTTATTCTTTCTTAAAAAATTTTAGTCATATTAAATTAAAGAATTGTTTTTTTTGTTATTGATTTAAAAAATGTAATGGGGTTATGGAGTTATATAATTATATGGAAAATAAATATTTTTTCTGAAACTTTAAAAACTTACAACTCGTTGATAGTGACAACACTAACTGATAGTATTTACATAAAAATGCACTATAAAGTGCTTATTTCAAACTTTAAATGTTCAGCGTTTATCGCCAAACAATTTGCGATAACGTCAAACTAGTGTGCTTGAACGACTTTTAGTCTTACGTCAGTCAAGGTTTTCCTTTGTACAGTAAACAAGTCATCACTTGCATTTTCAAAATTGTGTGGTTTTATTCGCTGAAAATTGAGCTAATTATAAATGCAAATGTATGTTAGATATACGTAATATTGTAAAAATTATAATATAACGTACCGAATAGCTTAACATCATTATAGTCCTCAATTAGCTTAATTAGACTTTTAATGGTCGTTTTAATTTGTACTCAACTTTGAGATCATGCTTATTAAAAATTAACGGTATTTCTTTAACAATTTTCAAAATTGCGATTATGCATTATGTGCATTTTTAAGTATTTACTATTACATAAGAGATACTGTTACAGTTACGGTTACCAAGGTCACCGTTATTGTAATAATTTATTCGGAATATCTTTCGGTGAGATTCGACACAAATGTGCCATCATAATTTTGAAAGCAAGTTACTTCAAACGATATTGTGCCATCAAATCGCTGATCCAATTGCTTATTCAATCTGTTTATTGTTTGGAAAAATATGTACAACTGTGTGATTTTATAACAAAGAAGATAGCTTCTTCCTTGACCTTAAACCGCAACGACATTGCAAAAATCTCGCACGCGCTTTCCCTCTCGACAATCAGAAAACGTAATGTAATTTCCGTGTTCCTTACTTTTATGCATTGTTTACGAAGTATTATAAAAAACAAGAAACAAACGTGAATTTGATAGATATATTATCTTTATGATGACGTTTATTACTTCTTTGCAAAAATAAATATATCACGATTTTAACATTGGAAATTTTTTTTATGTTCAATGATGTCAGATTATATTCTTTATTATACTATAACACATATTTTAGAATTAAAATAATTAATATTATTTTCTAGCTTAATAAAAAATATTAAAAATTTTTAAATTAAAAAAATAAAGAAAAAACATTAATGAATTAAAGAAATTTAATTTTAAATTATTTTATTTCATTGTTGTAAAAACATTAAAAAGTTTAATGATATCGTATTGTAAAAGTTAACAATCATTTTTAAACAATCTACAATAAATTTTTTGTTTTTCGTCTCTGATCATTTAACATTGTTCATCAGTACGTAGTCTCGAATATAATGTATCATACGTGTTTAATATTCATTTATTAGAAGACGTGACACACTAGACTGCTGATTTCTGCGGTCTGCCATTGACGACTTTGGCGCATTGGGGTAACGATGACTAACAGTCCGTACCGTTAGGCCGAATCGTTATTCCAGCTGGAGAATGTCAATTTCATGCGGTTTACGGTACTCAAATTGCGCCTCAGTATACACTAGCGTTGTGCTGATCGTTTATCGCCATTGTTTCCTTCATGACAGATCCTTCAGGATGATCAATAAGCGTCAAATAAGAGATAATTTAGAATTATGTTAGTAAACCAAGTTAAAAGTTGGACTCTTTTAGTTAAATCTAGTTAAATTGGTTTTACATTATCCATTTTTTATATTTCGTGAATTTTTAGATTCTTATAAATATTACAAAATTTAAATTCGAGTAAAAAAAAGCAGTACGTAATTAAATTTCCGTTAAAAACAAACTCACTTAAAATTTGCAAAAAAAATCATTATTTGAAACGTATGCAAGAATTTGTACTTATTATGTATGTGTCATTGGACTCTCTTAAATACGCATTGCATCTGCATACGACGCATATTTAAAGGTATTTAATTCCGCGTTGTTCCATATCTGTCCTTCACGCGCTGACTCAATACGTATTCGTCATCGAAACTTTCGTACGTTCCGCGAAATATGCGCAAGTGTAATATATTAACACAGGTAAAAGCAGTTACGGCAAAAGAACAACGGTATCCAAGTGGCTACGAGCCGAAACGTTTCCGGCACGTCGCCAGCGTTTAAAATCCCGCGACAATGACCTCGCGGAAAGCACTTACTCCTAAAAATAACTCAGTCGGAATTCACCAAAGTGAATCTCGCGGTCAACGACCTTGAAGATCTCTGCCTTCGGCCCAGAAGTGGTTCTTCTGGATGTTCAAATTGCAGAGAGATATTCGTCTTCGGAGCTGGAGCGGAATCTCCGATTATTATGCGCTAAGTAGATCACCGAGTGGTCGCGCTCACCAAATGTTGTGTTACAGGAGCGAGAAGGATGTGGTTGTCGAAGACGTTACTCCTACTCATATTTCTCGGGCTGACGAGTTCCGAAAAGAACGAGGACGACGTATCCATTGAGGATGATCTTGCCCGCGCCTTTACACGTTCGGATACCGGCAAGATGGTACGATAAAGAAACTTATATATTTTTGCAATTTATTTAATTTAGTTTTAATTTATTTTATTTATCACGTCCGCTTTACGATTTTTTGGTGCAATTTTAACGTGAAATCACGTTTTAATAATCTTTTCTTTTTAATTTTACGAATATTTAATTCTTTTAAGACAAAAATATAAAAACGGATACAGCGTTAAAAGATCTCGATATAAAATATGTGCAAAAAAATTAATAAAATGGTGTCGACGATAGATCTTGTCCGGCATCAGCAGCTTGATGTCAGGCCAAAATAATCAAGGCTTCGATATGTCGATGGTGGGTTCAATCGTGAGTGCCATGGCGGCTAACAATCATGGTAGGTCGACGAAGGACATAGAGCATAGAGAAGAGCAGGGCATAGACTGGGACAACATAGTCAGAATGGGCAGCATGTTCTTCCAGCAAAACGTTAACAATGACATGGTGATGGGTCTTATCCCGATGCTCTTGGATGCTATGGGTCATTCGACTAACGACAACGACGCCGGGATTAAAGATCACTCGGGTCACTCGTGGTTCTTGCCGCCCGTATTGGAGAACATTCACGTCATGTGGGAGCATTTCAGGTATTACGTCAACTGCATAGAGAAACTTGATAGAAATATGATAGGCCACGACAGTATAATTCTGCATTATCAAAATATAATATGCACTGTTGAAACAAATTAAAGTTTAATAAATCCAAAAACTTCATTAAATCAATTTTTTACATATTATCTTACTTGAATTTAAAGATAAGAAAAGAAATAAACATGTGTTTAAAGAAAAGCTAGAAGACGTAAGACTAGATATTTATGAATTTTTTGACTAAAATACAATTTTTTCTGTATTCTAGTAATTCGGAACTTGGACAAATGTTATGGAAGAATAGTGGTCTCTCAAAAATAATAGCTCACATGACAGACGAAAATGGTAATATTCTATGGGAGAAAATCCTAGAAAGCTTTGAGAATCCTATGTTACGTCGAAGATGGGTCAAATCTCTTACGAACTTTGTGGCTGAATGGATCTCTCACGTTTCTGACCCAATGAATCAGCAGCGTTATCTCACGACCGCGCAATTCATCGGTAATAGTTTCCTGAAGTCTCAAGGATTCCCGAAGACGATGATGTTCGACGCCACGAAACCAACGGAGAGTCTTTCCAGGTGATGCTCACCTTCTGCATAATAATTCTTATTTATATATTTTTATATTTCGATATTTTTCGCAAATCTACATTGTTTCATAGAATTGTAAAACTTCTCTCTTAGACTTGCAAACGGAATAGCTAAGAGATATCTGAATATGAAGATCGACACCTCAAAGTACGTAAGGCCAGCGATAGCGTATTTCCAGGAATTAGTAAATCTGGCTTCTGAAAAGGGCTTCATCATGTCCCGAGTAAATGCACGAGAACTCAGCAATCGGCTAAGCGATGTTATCAACAACGATCTCATTTCCCCCATTCTTAAGGTATTTAAAACTTTATTTTTTTTGAAACTAATATTATTTCACTCTTCAATAAAATCTTATTAATTTCAAATTTTTAATAGATAGATATTCTCTCAAAATTAGTTTGTACATAACAGCGCAAAGCGTCTTTCATAATAATGTACAATTATTGCACTCACAATTTTTTTTTAAGTTAAATTTTGATAATTTTTATCAACATTGATATGTCATTTATTTTCAGTCGTATCGAGCGTACAAATGGGCGACCAAAGTGCCGCATTGTGCTAGTCAAATTTTGTGTACCATAAACGAGAAGAGTCAGCAGGACGACAGCAACGAGTCACGCGTACGCAGCGGATTGCTGAAGGTAGCAAGTTTCCCTGCAGCTTGGGGAGTCAGTCATAAGTTAGGAATTAATTTCTGGTCTCTCTACGGAGCCATCATGGAGAACGACGGATGCATTGTGAGTAAATTATGATTGACTGATAATAAATTTCAATTACATTAAAATTAATTAATTTTTATAAAGTATTTAATTATAAGAAAAAATGAAATAAAAGCACGGTTATTTGAAGTTAACTGGCAAAGATTTTTTAGAGTTGAACATATTTATATGTATTTTTTTCCCGTTAGTTTCTCGCGTTATCTCGACTGTGAATTATGAAAAAATGTGTAAAAATCTTTTCTTGTTCCACTTTCAGAGCAAATACCCAGCGGACTGCACGGCCTTCCACGAAGAGGAGATTAGAGTGACTACGGAAAATATCCATAATGAACTTTAAGTTTAGTTTGCTAGCGATCTGTGAAAGATATTGCCGAATCGTCTCTCAAAAAACATGCGGCAATACTGTGTTTTTCTTTTATTCTTTGTTTTATTATATTTATTGCGAGAAATAAAATGCGCCAGACGATGTTGCATACGATTGCGACAATTGATTAACAGAGACGACTAGGTTATGAAGGAATGTCTCTTTGCTTTCTTCACGTGTACATATAAGCAACGACATTTCAAAATAATCTAAAATTAAATTAAATTTTTTTTAAATGTAATCAAGAAACACGAATATTTAAAATCTCGTAATCGTTTAGAAGATGTGTCTATCTCCATAAATATTCAACGTAGTTAAAATATTTTTCAATTATTTTTTGGACTTTAATGTTATTTGAAAAAACTTATGTTCTCGAACTCAAATTCTTAGAGAATATAGCATATTAAATAACTTTTTGAAAGTTTAACTTCTTCGAAGGATGAAGGATACGATAATCGCGACATTACTTCAAACGCTATTTCTCTTAATCACTTATATAATATTCGTTGTTAAAAGAAAAACAATTATGGATAGTTTGCATATTGATACCTTAAATTCAAAAGCTCACATCTCGAATTTTTGACTAATTTTACTAATTTTACTATTTCTGTTATTATGATAGTATTTTTATTTTTTTATGTATCAAATGTTTTTTTAATAATCCCAAAAACTTATTTATTAACAACTTAAAATTATTTTAAATTTAAAGTTTGACAAATGAGTCGGAATACATTATAAATAAACAGTTTTTAATGTCTTCTATAAAACTTTTTTTTAGTTATGAGATTTTGGATTTAAGATATTGATATGCTGCGCGTTATGTTTTTAACGCGTCTCCGCGAATTTTTTTCGCGTGATGCTCAAATCTCTATCTGATTTATAAGTATAAATATTATATTAATTATTATATATCTATACATATCGTGTGTGTTTTCTCTTGTTTTATTTCTTTATTATTCTTCACTAGATAAAACTATAAAAATTCTAATCTTTAGTTACAACAGCAAGAAGGCACGTAATAAAGCTCGCTGTTACGGACGGCGACTCTTTCTCTCTCTCTCTGTTTTTCTAAGAAAAAAATAGATCTTCTCGAGTCCGGCTGATGTCGAACAGCTCATTTCAAAGTGGACGGAAGTCCGACGACTGGATACGTTCGGTACAACGACGGATTCGTAAGAATCCACTGGGCATTCGGATGTTCGTACCGAATCCACAAATAACAGTGTTCTCAGTTGTTCTTTGTAAATAGTATAGATAAAAGATAAATAAAGATTATATGTGAGATATACAATGGTCGGTGTAATCCTGCTCCTTTCGTGCACCCTAATGTGGAATAAATGTCGACATGCTTATATTATTTTTTTTTTATATTTTTGCACGCCCACTCTAAACCTTCCTGAAAAATAAAAGAAACAACGATACGTTAAAAACTAAATCCAAAAATGAGCAATAATAGAAATATATGTTTCTTTAAGATTAAATATAAATATGACTTTAAATTTTCTTTGCAAGATCGAGAAAATGAATATTTCTCACGTACTTTCACACCCTTGCCCTCGATAGCGATGCACGATTGTATTTGCCAATCACGATCTTTGATATTATGTAAACCGAGTCCCTCCGCTATTTCGGCTGCCGTCACCGCGTGTCCTAGATCTTGCTTGTTCGCATATACCAATAATGGCACTCCGCGCAGCTTTTCTTCGAGCAAAAGCTCCGACAGTTCTTGACCTGTTTCTTCTAGCCTCTTGATATCAGCGCTATCGACGACGTAAATCTATTGTCAACAAATATTATAAAATTTTAAAACATATATAAAATTTTAATTTAATTTTTGGCCTAATATCTAATTTCTAAAAAAACAGGGCAAGTTTGTCAAGAAAAAAATACAACATTCTTAAAGATTCTATAAATAAAAAATTAAAATTGAAAAGTTTAAGCATTAAAAAGTAATAGAAAAGCACTTACAAGTACATCCGTATTCTCGAAATAATTTCGCCAATAAGGTCGAATCTTTCGAGCTCCGCCAATATCCCAAACGTTCAATTTAAAACCCTCGCTCTGGACACTTTTTATATTAAAACCTTGTGTTGGAGTGACCTGTAAATTTATGAAAATAAATTAATTTTTTCTATATATATTGCATTTTATATCAGTCTATTTATCGCACTTTTTGTGAATCATCTTTACGATAATAAGGAGAAACTTACTTGCGTGATATCTTCGCTCGCCAAAGACTTTAAAATAGTCGTTTTTCCGGCATTGTCCAAGCCCAACAGTAATAATCGTAACTCTTTGTCAGGATTTGATCGCAATTTTCGTAAAATAGCGAGCAGACCCTAAGATTGAATATCAATTATTTATAATAAATACGTTTTAAGATATTTTATGTATTGCAATTTAATTGTTGATAAAAATTGCATTATTTTCTATTATTAGTAAAAAATAAGTAAGTAATAATATTATCATATAAAATACACATTATTATAAAATTTAACATCACACAATACTTAAAAGTTTCATATAAACACCGACTGTTACTAAAAATTTTTTTATACATACTTGATGCCATTTTTTTGTATTATGTTTTACAAAATATACACTTTTGTATTTTATAAAAACTGTTTAATTGATTTAAATCTAATAAATATTGATCTTCTCGCGTATCATAAAAATTTTCAAATTTCATATGAGATCAGTGTATGCAACTTTGCGAGAATAAAATTCTCATTTATGTTGGCATGTATGGAAGTAGTTATGACGACGAGGATATATATACAGTTACGTTGAATGCATGAGGATAGTGTCAGAGTGCAGTGCATAAAAAGATATAAATGGATTTTATAAGATAAATACACTAAATGACAACCATAAATTTTATTTAATAAACCGTTTTGTAAACTCTTATGCAATGCTTGATATAAATACGTTTTGCATATACATTGCAATCAGTGTAGAACTTTAGTAGGTTATGTTTTGATTACTTTGTGCATCCAAGGACATAATAGGCAGTGGTAATAAATAAAAAGAGAGTGCGTAATACTGTGCATTGGCATTTAATTCGCGTAACATTTTTACCATTTTATTGTTGGTATTTCAGGTACTGGAACGAAGACGCGTTAACGATTTACTGCAATACGTCGAATGTGCAATATATCGAAATGTATGTTGTTTTTCTGGTATCCAAGGAAGATGGTGTCATCTGCGTACTGTGACCAGTATTACTTGCTGTTCTGAAACAGTTAAAGTAGTCGCAGGTCAGTTACCACGTGCGTATCAATTTAACACGTCGCCTACAACAACAACAGTCGGTAAATAAATTACAAAATTTCTTATTTTATATTACATAAATATTATATTATATTACTATTATGTATGTGTTATTTACAGAGTCATGTCGGTATACTATACTGGATTAAATGCCACTTCACTTTTTTTCGATCAGGATGAAATTATCACATCGATATCACATTTGACTCAAATTCCATTTTCTGGAATCACTGACATTGAGATTGGCTGGAATTATTTCCTTTTATGGCAAGATACAAAATTATATATTGCTGGAAAAATTAGTAAGGATGACGATAAAACTCGTCCTCATTTAATGCAAATTCCAGGGGAGTCATCAGAAAGGTAATAGGCGCAGAAAAGTTTTTTTACTGTACATTTTTCTATTTTCAATTCCTTTACTATATACTTTTTATATAGTTGCAAAATAGCTGTTCCTGGCCATGACTATATAATTATTCTATCGACACATAATGAACTTTGGAAGTACAAGATATATGAGGACTCTTGGCAAAAAGTGACCCCTTTTATTCCCAGCAGTGATAACACATCAGCTGAATATGCCATTAAATTGTCACAAGGAAGATGTACAGTGGTTCTAACTAATTTAGGTATGCAATGAAAAATGATATACTCATAAGAAAACAAATGAACGTCTTCCATTAATCTTGAGCTTTAAATAACTTTGTAATAGAACTAAAAATAAGAAAGCACTTCTTTAAATATATTTTTATTTATTTTTGTTATTTTTGATAATTTTAAAAATTTTGAGAAAAATAAAATTTAAAGAATATTTTTAAATCACATTTTCAAAAAATTATTAATTTATATGTTGAAGAGAAAAAATGCTCAGTCTTGGAAACACAATTTAATATATTTTTAGAAAAATTTTTTTGTTTAAGGACGTGTATTTAATGTCCCAGTCTTAGTTGAGATACCAAAGAGAGTTAAATTTATTGACATTGCCTGCGGATTTGACTATACCATTTTATTAGCTGAAAATGGAGATATTTATTCAATGGGAATGGGAATGTATGTAGTATTGTTTCGTATTGCACGCAAATTTATTAAGAAACTTCTATTAATTAAATAAGAAATTCTATTATTTACAATAGACGTGGTCAATTAGGACACAATGAGTTGGAAAACTGTGATAATCCGAGGCTAATCGAGGCCTTAGCAGGTCTGAAGGTTGTACAAATATCAGCGGGCGGTTGGCATAGTGCTGTAATCACCGATCAAGTCAGTGCTTTAAATCTAATTAGTTGCACATATCATTATACAAGTCGCATAAATAAAATTAATTTAACATGACAGGGTGATCTATATACTTGGGGATGGAATTCACACGGAGAGTTAGGAATTGAAAGTAAAGACACAAAGGTTTATGCTGTTCCAACTTTAATAGATTTTAAAAATGACAAAGGAGAGAATGTAGAAATTAATGTCAAGAAGGTCGAATGCGGAAATTCCTTCACTGTATGCTTAACAGGTAACACATATTTTGTCAATATACTTCTCGATTTTCCAGAGACTTGTCATACCGTTTCTGTTTTTTAGACGACGGCTCCTTTTGGGGCTGTGGCACCAACAAGTACGGCCAATTAGGAAAACTTGAGCAGAATTTGGAAGATCCGTGTCGTTTTGTCAAATTAGATATAACACCGTTAGATCCTAAAACAGTGAAAACGTTTAAGTGTCACGAATGGGGCACGGCAGTAATTACAGAGTAATATTGTACTTTTTATTTTTTAAAAAGAACGAAATATAATTATTTTTTTAATCACACATGATTGTTTGTATTTATCCTCGTTACGTATCTCCAGTATGCATCTCGAAAATCCGTGTCGCCTCCTTTGCTTCTATTAACGGCAAGATAAACCGACGATTGTTGGCTAATGCTTCATCCTCGCTGAAAGAAGGTCGTGGCGTCGGAGGAATTTCCATATTTAAATCTTCCGCTACTGTTCGCTCTTCTTTTATATTGTTGGTTTTTTCTTTTTCTGAAAATTAAGCATTCAGTAGTTTACAATTATTGTCTAACATCGCGGATGAACCGCTATATAACTATAACAGAATAAATTATAATAAATATTATTAATAAAAAATAAGAAATATTAATATATATATCCGAATGTTACAAGAATTACAATCCTAGAAGCGTTTTTGTGAATTATATCGAACGTAGAAAATTATATAATGATTCTGTTGCTGCTTTACCTTTATATTTCTTGCCGTTGCGGTCGCGACTTGTCAATTCATTAGCAGTCCTCTCCAAGCGTTGACAAAGTTGCATATCAAATGATCCTTTTTCATCCGCGAGTTTAATTTGACGTGGTTTGCGCAGAGTATGTGGCATGTGAAAAATTTTTATTTGTATTGGCATTACGAAAACTGCATGTATAAGAGCATACCGCAATTCATTAGCATACCTGTTTAAAAATATAAAATATTTTTTGCATTTTGTATATTGTTCAAACAATATAAGAGACATTCAAGATAATATAATGTGTTTTGTTAAACTTACATGCTGTATGTTGCTTCAATAATCATATCAAGTACGATGCTTGGATTTTTTAAATTGGAGGATTCATTAATCGTATTTGCATCTGTGAATGTGTCTGTTTGCGAATTTTCTGTGCTTAATGGTAGTTCAATATTTTTTGGTTTCTCTTCATTATTCGTTACACTAAAATAAAAATTGTTTCGTTTCTGTGCGACAAAAAAAGACAGTAATAAATTAACGGAAAGTATATCGCATTCTCTCTTCTCTGCTTAGGAAAGGAAAATTCTTTTTTATTTACCTTCCATAATTATAATTATTCGAACTTTTTTCAACGAAAGAATGTTTATTTTCTCGAGATGCACGCTCGTTATCTTCTGCCATTAATTCCTCTTTAGACGATTCATTCGTGATTAAATATTTTGCTCTATTTGTGACAAGTTTATCAGTGATGAGATTTTTTGATATAATTTCAGAACGTTCATCCACGAGTAATTCCCAGTACGGTAACTGATCATCACTAAATAATTTTTCAGCAGATAGAAATAAAGTTCTCATTTCCTTGATAAAATTTTCGCGACAGAGTTTTTTATCTACAAAAATATTCTGTTTCTAAAAGTATATTTTTACAAATTTAATGTAGTCGACAGTTAAAATCACCTCGAATTAATTTCATTTCGCCTGCCAACCAGCTAATTAAAACGCCTTTATAATGATCATCTAGATGTTTGTAACGTAAAACTTGAAGCGCTATTGTGTCCAAAAACCAGAAAGCAGCCTTGTTAGTTTTGTAATCTGTGACTCCCAAAAGATCACCTAGCAATCTGCGCAGCGATTAAATATTTCTTCGTAATTCCAACTGTTATAAAATCTAAAGTTTTATATTAAAAATTTCACTAACTCGATGACATATCGCGGTTCTTCTATCTCAATCTTTACTGCCTTCCCTACAAGGCTTTTAAAAGTGCTTGGAAGTATCGGCATATACATATAATCCCGTCGCGTATCTGTGACCTCAAATTGAAATTTACAATATTATTATCATCGCAAGATAGTAACTTTTGCATTAGTCAATGCGACATATAATCAATATGACATATCAAAGGTAAAATCTAAGTCATCAATTAACCTTTGCTCGTATATATTAACTGAGAAAATTAATAAAAGATAAATCCATGGTTAAATCTGTGTAAATTAGAACACGTTAAACTATTAGATCTTAAAAATAATATATGTTATTAAATAACCTCATTTTCAATCATTTTATCGTGGTCTTCTTTAAATACTGAACTTCTTTCAGAGCTCGACATGTTAGATGATTTTATATATTATGAATTGAAAATCAGGTTACGCGTCATGTAAAATTATTCGCATCGGATACTCACATCTGTGCATTCACGGAATGTGAATACAACTGCGAAATCCAACAGAGAATCGCCTGTCGTTGACGACGTGTCGTCCATCGGGTGAGAAGAAAAAATCACACGGACACGGCTTTGTTTTGTTTTTACTCATTGGTTTTATTAATTTTTTTTTCCATATTTTGTTCAATATTTTCAGAAAATAACACTCCAAAGCGAAAAAACCGTATATTCTCACCAATCCCAATGTATGTATAATATATATATTATACTTTTCATATATAATATATATGTATATATATATAATATATATATAATGTATACTTTTTTATACTTTATATATAATAATATTATGTAGAGTAGCGCACACTTTAGACTGTTATGTATCGATACCTTTTATAATTTTATCGATAAATTACAAATATTGAAAAACATGAAACAGACACAGTCGGCGGGGACGCGCGGACTTCGGCGTGGGACTTTTTCTTACGGAACCGTGAAAAAAGTTTTCGCGACGGACGCTACCGTTCGCTGCTTCCGCGTCCGCCTGATTCGAGGATGAGTCAAACTGGATGAACGGCATCCTAAATTTCAAATTTAAGAAAACTCGTGGATGAAAGGGAAAATGACGCGATTTCGATCGGACATAAAAGTCGAAAATCGCATCCGATCTTCTTTGCGAAGCGTTTGTACCTGTTGAAAAATTCTCGACCAATTTCATCGAATTGATCGAATTTCAAAAGGGAAATGGGAATACGTGGACATCGGCAGGAAGAAGCGGAAGCAGCTATTCATCGTCTCCGAACGCTAATAACTATAATATATAATATATGTATAATATGTACGCGCGAACATACGCGTGCCCCGGCGCGACTGACTTTTTTTTATTTATATATTTTCACACCGAAGTCAGAAAGGCAATACGCAGTATGAACTTACTTAGTACATTTGTGTTTCGTGTGTGTGTGTACGCGTTATGTGTGTGGCTTTTACAACTATTTTTCCTCATTTGTCTATTGTTCCGTGTCTTCTTCTTCTTTTTCTTCCGTCATTTGGTTCTCCTACTTTTTTTTTTGTCCCATAATAACACGCACTCTCTGGCTTTCGCTTTGTTCGATCGTTTCTCCCCCCGTTTTACCTCGTATTCCCCGTTTCTTTCACTTTTCGGTAGCCTTGTTCCGTCTTTCCCCCGTCCTTCCGAGTCATGAAAATTATCCGGAGACACGTGAGAGTAAGAGGGATAGAGAGGTACGAAGAGGAGGGATTTGAAGGATTGAGTGGTCGGAGGGTAGCGGAGAGATAATCGTATACAGACGCGGCTAACGGAATTAATCAACATTGTGAATCAAAGTAAAATAAGAGAAAGAAATTACATACAGGTGGGATATGGTGGCAGTTGCGATCGCAATTCATCACGCCGTTCGCTGCGTGTCAAGCTTTCCGAGAGAACCAAAGATCTTGCGAACATTTTAATTTCAAAAAATTATTCTAATATTTTTAAAAATGCACTAGTTTAAAACAATAAATCTTTATTAATAAAAAAGAGTGTTTTTAATTAACGTGTACAATTTGTATCTCCTAATATAAAAATGCACAAGTTCTTCTATGTATTAAATCAGATTTCTCATTAATGTGTCAAAATTGCCCCTTATTTTTTAATTTTTCTGCTACTTATTACAGCATAAATTCGCAATTATTTATGTTCTTGTCGTTTTCTAACAACTTTTTAAGGACAATAGTTTTATAAAGAATGTAAATATAATTAATTTAAAAAATTTAACTTTACTGGAATTTTAATCGTTTATTAAATTAATGTACTCAAAGCTTTAATAAATAAGATTTTATAAGAATTTAAAGTTATGTAAAACTATTAGAACTTTAAAACTGTAATATATTGACGCCGGATGTCTTTAGATTAATATCTCTTTAGAAGTCTCTATTCATTTCAGAAAACTTGCTCACAATCGCGAACAACGTTCTTGTGAGATCGCAACAGACTTTGGAATAAGGCGTGCTTCCCCGTGTATGAACAATAAGCTGTTTCAATTTCTTTCGTTATTTTTAAGATGTACCTTGCATTGTACATTAAAATACGTGTTTAAAGTGCAACTGCAAGGGCTAAAACGGAAAAGAAATTGGAAACATGCAGTTGCACAATACAATCGGAGAAGCGAAAATTAACCAATTGGTGAACTAAATATTTTTCAATCGATTTTATTGAAAATAATACAACAAAATGTCTCATAATAATAATAATATAATAATAAGAATATAATAATAATAATAATTAAAAATAATTAATAATTATAGATACGTACTGTTTTCTACTCAATATCTAGATAATCGCCTTAAAATATTGTTTAAATAATAATATTATCATCGTCATTTTAATCAATGTAATAATAAAATAATAATAATAAAGGCAATAAAGTTAATAATAATAATAATAATTATATCATAGAATAATGTATCAATAAACAAACTTAATAGGCTAATTACTCGTTAATCATTCGTCATCGTTCTCGATCGCTATCAATGGATCTTTTACTTTACCTAGTCATTAATAATGGATAATTAATTAATTCATTAATTAAATTACACGTTGCTTGGATATGCACATAGAGATATAAAGTCGTTTTTGGTCCCACCTAACTGCAAACGTTATATTCATACAATTTTTTTTTTGTGTGTATCGCTTGGATCGCTTTACATGTGTATGCGTGTGTGTTACGTGTGTGTGCACGTGTTGCAAATAACTACTGTCACGCTATCAGTAAAGCTGTCGTTTCTCTATTTCCCTTTGTCCCCCGCATCCGTATTCCGAAATAATCTATCGCGTATACACATGACAGCGTTGCGTCGCGTATATGTGCGAGTGTGTACCATTCGGAACCACCCGTATCTCGCGGAGCGTATGATAGGGTGTCCCCGAAAAAAACGGTACCGCGAAAAATGACAACCAAAAGACAAAAAAAAAAAATACGCTCCCGTACCTTCGGTGGCCGGGAGTTAAATACGCGTTTTCAACGCTGTTTAATAAAATATACATACACATATATTTATATATATGTATATATATAAATATATATATATATCGCGATTACATTGTATACATATCGCTTGTCTCGTGCCCCGTGCTCGTCGTTTCGCTTCCCCCCGCCCACCCTCTTGCGATCTCGGTGCCGCTTTACCCGTGTGTGTCTTACTTTCTCCACTCCACCTCCCTCCCCCGTCTCACTTTCCTTGCGAATATACCTTCGTTATCACTGAGGACGAGTCTCGCCGCCGGAACGCGTTCTTCTCGCGTTCACACCCTAATATTTTTACAACTGGCATTGCGTTCCGTTCTCCGTGTGTCCGCACTTCGCTTTTAAAGTACGCTTAAGTTTACCTAATAACATTACTCTCACTAGATACATCGCCGTGCGAGGACGGACCTCTCGATGTCCTCGCCACGGTATCGCTGACGATACCGTCTCGATCCTTCCCCGAACCTCGGCGAGAGGTACTTCTTCTACTTATCCCTTTCTTCTTTTTTTTTCTTACAGCCAATTGAAAGAATTTTTCGCGGATCCGACGCCACTGGCGTCGCCGAATAAATCTAATCAACTTCTTTTGTTTTTTATTATTATTAAGGCTACGCAATTTCTCGCAACTTACAATTTCTCGCACAAATACTGGTTTATGTCAGTCTCATATTTCTTCCGCCGAGCCTGGTCGAGTCGACGGCGTGTCTGCGTTCGTTACGAGATTTTCGAGGGAACGCGGGAAGGCGCCGCGACGCCATCGATTCTATTCATCGTCGGCGCTACGTGCTCGGACCAGGCTCCGCGTATAAATGTAATGCCAGTTGTACATTTTCTTCTTTTTTTTTCATCTCGGAGACGACAGCGTATCACGCGTTCGTCCTTTCTCAGGGAAAACGTGCACTCGCAGAATAATCCGCGGGATCAGGCGTCCGGCCTTCTTTGGCGTCCTAATTAACATTCGCCTAATCACACATGACAAGTGATAATAATTAACAATAACAATTTACAGTAAATCGCGCGCTGCGCGAAAAACGTATTCTCTAATTGGCCTCTGTCCGCTCGTATAGTTTCTAATTTTTTCTCCGACCTCTTTCTACAAATCCGCAAATCCTTCGTATTGCAATTTAATACGCAATATTCTTATGTATGATCGATAAAAACCTTTGTACGAAAGACACATTACACGCATCTAAACTAACATCAACATAAATGCAACACATGTTTTAATAGAATGTATAATAATTGTTTACAATTTATGAATATCATTATGCATTCAAAACAAGAGCCTGAGCATTCTAATTACGTATTAAAGTGTAACGTTTGAACTTCATTAATTAAAAATCGTTCCAATTGAAACACGGTTGAAAACCGAACAAATCATCCGTGTTAAATCCTTTCAAAGAAGATATACGAGCAATTGTTTCGCATTGTCATTCGCGCTTTGTCGCGCGAGCAATGACATTCTGCCGCTTTCGCTTTCTCTAAATAAAATTTGAGAACTCGACGGTCGGTCGCAGTGAAATCGATTCGATCTCGGTTTTTCGACCTGACCGTATCAATTGCAATCGCGGAATTGTAAAGCAATCACACCGCCGACGGACTAGTAACGAACTCACACGCAACGATCAACAACGTCAAAGCAAATTTACATCGCGACGTCACATACCACGTACACGCGCGTATATCTACCACTAATTTCGCCTCTCGGCGTGATCCCGAGATCGGGAGAGCGCACGTTTCCCCTCTCGTCTCCCCGTGCCGGGCTTTCGCGAGCGGAGCGACGCGACTTCGGGAAAACCACCCCCGCTCGTCGTATTGTTCGCATGGGACTATTCGCATTCCTCTCGTTAAAAGAGAGCCGTCCTGAGAGAAACTGATCGCAAAGACGCAGGACGGCTGTACGCTCGTCGGAGTCGCGCCGCGCCTATCATTCTGCCCTTCGTATCACCTGCCTGCGTATCGTTAACATACTTCAAATAGTAATATACCTCACAACCATTTTGACAACAATCAACCGTCAACAAAAGAGCGTCCTACCTCAAAAAACCTTCAAAAGGTGCGCCACCCAGCCAGCGCCGACCTCCGGCGACACTTTCGACTCTTTCGCGTGTCTTTTTGATTTGTCGACCGGAAAACGGTCGATTTCTCTCACCCTCCCCTCCCCGCCCTTCTTTCCCCTCGTCGCTGTCCGGAAGTCGAGCTTGCCGGCTGACGTATCACATGTTTCAAAACTACGAACCACGTACGCACCGCGATCGTATCGCACCACTCTCTCGCACTCATTCACAGATCGCACAACAAAATGCCCTTTGATTTCTTCTCGCTCTCGTCTTCCGCGCGCTCTTACTCGCTCTCTCATACTCTTTCGCTCTCATTCTCTCATTCGCTGCTTAAGATTCCGTTTCCGACTGCACTTCACTCACCTCACACCGTCATATTCGTCGCGTGAAAGACGCTCGGAAGGCTTACATGAAATTGGTTTTATCGCCATTTCGCATATTATTAAAGATAAATTTTGCTTCTCTCTTCGCATTACATTCTCGCTCCAATGTAATATAAAGCTTTCGTAGTAAAAGCCTTGTATTTGACTGCGGCGCTCGCAACCAAGTGGAAAATCATTGGTAATATACGGTGTTCACTTTAAAAGATAAATCCGTACCATTCACATGATTAGAGAAGGTTTTATATTTTTTACGTCAAATCTAATTATTGAAAAAGAATTTAATTAAAGCCCCCGCTTTCGATAATAATCGGTTGGAAGTATCTTCGATAGCATTTTAATATTCTCCGATAATAATATGGAGATAGAGACTGTGAGGATTTCAGTTTCCGATAACTAAAACCTGGATTTCAGGAGAATTTTTTTTTGCACGTGGCCGTATCGGAAAAACGCGGTGTTCAATTTCCATGCGCGTTTAAAAAGCTCGGGAATCGCCGTCAAGTTAATAATATCAATCACGGTGACTGCGGACGAAAGATAATCATACCTCGTAGATTTGCATATCACGCGTGATCGCTGTTTAACTTTTCAAAGCACTTTCTTTTCTTTTTCCACGATAACGTCGCAGCCTCAATTAGATCGGATATATTCCCGACTCCATTAACAATTAACAATATCAACAGTCCTTGGTCTTCAATTGGTTTATCGCTCGGCGCGAAATTGGCTCGCTTCTCCAAAATTGATCGCGGTCCAATTAGTAGCAGACGACCGCCGATGAATTTCCACTTCGCCACGCCTCGTCAATTATTACTCGCCTAATTCTCCCCGCGAACGTCCTTCCTCGATCGCATCTTGTCGCACGAAATGCGCACCATTTCTTTTGTTTTTTTCGCCCGGCACCGATTCTCCGTCGAAGTCGCATTCGTCGATTCGTGAAATTTACACAAATCTTCTTTCCGCGAATAAAGAGATATTCTTTTGATACACAGTGGCGGATTTACCAGCGATCGCTTGGAATCCCATTAAAAATATTCCGGATATCATACTCCAATATCCATGAAAAATATCACAAAATTTTGATTGTAATATATTTATTATTAATATTATCAGTAAAATTCTTTCGCGCGCGGTGTAATCGTGTGAAAAATTTTTCTAATTGAAAAAAATCATTCAAAGTACTCGAAGCTTAAAATCCGCCATTGTTTCGACAGACGGGAATCGGGATTGTTTCGATTCCTCGACGGTGCGCTCGACAAAACAAATCATCGCTTCGTGTCGAACGTTCAAACAAAGTCGTAACGAAAATAACACTACTAATTACACATTTTAAAGGATATACCTTAATTATATCATACTTGTATACGTTAAATCGATTCCGAAATTGCTCTCGCCCGGCGCATGTACGCGTGTTTTATATGTGTACCTCCTTTTCCTGTTCCTCGTAATCAGCAGATCGGCACCGGTATATAATTCTTTAAGTTTAAATGCAATAGACACGCTAAAGCAATTCGTGTGACAATTGGTATATATTTTCCGTATCTGCGTAGCAACGAAAATCGCTACCTCTAAAATAATACCGGTCTCAATCTCTGCTCGTGACTACCTCGTTCCGTTGAAAAACGATCAGTACATTAATTTGCAAGTACGTTGTACTCGTACGTGTGTGTATGCATGTATGTATGTATGTTTATGTGTACGCGTGTCAGAGAAATGCCCTGCAATGTATCTCGCGATCGATCCTGCCGTGTGTTTCCTCCGGCATGCACTGTCTTTCGCGTAACGGGAGTAAGGAAAAGCCTTTCGGGCCGGAAGGAGAAAGTGCAAGGGGTGCGAGGGGTGACGCGTTGACGCACTTGCGTCCGCTGTCGACACCGCATTTAATCGATCGACCCCCGAGGAGTCCTTAGATAAACCTGTCGCACTGTCGTTGAACGATGAGATACAATATAATCGTCGACGAGATCACGAAGTGACACGTAATGCTTACGTATCGCGTACGTATGCATGTGTCCGCTATGTGTGTGTGTGTGTGAGTGGTGTGTTTGCGTGTATGTGCGTATATGTATACACGTATATGTATATACGATAAACGACAGCGCCTACCGCAATAAGAATAATTGATAATCGAATATACACAATCGCGGTCTAAACAATAAATGGCGACACGTATTTCAGAGATCGTGTGTATATGTGTACGTATGTTTCTTTCTGTGTACGTGTGTGTGTCTGTGTTTGTGTATGTGTATACTGTATTCGTATATATAGTATATATGCGTATCTATATACCGCGTTAGACGCGCCTTAAATTTCTCCCTTCCGGTACGAAACGATAATATATAACTGTAAAATCCATGTAGAATATAAAAAATATTCTCTCGCCGCCTCTATCTAACTATATCAAACACTGCACTAAGACTGTATACTTCGTTACGAACGTATATGCGTGTATATACCCGCGTGTTCGCGCTCGTGAAACGTGTATGTGTGTGTGTATGTGTGTGTGTGTGTGTGTATATACGTATGCTTGCAAAGAGGTGTGTATGGTCATGTTGCTCCTGTCAGCTTTATGTACGATGTTCCTTTTCAAGCTTACGGGAAAGTGCTACGTCTAGACAGGGTGGTGGGTCGGATCGAGGCGTATCGCGGATCGAGATCGCGATTCTCGCATATTCTCAATCCTCCGCGATGTTTCGTAATTTTTTAATTCCGATCTAACAGTACGTTTTGCGAACCTATTCGCACTGTTATTGTCCAAACTGACTCGCGTTACCGCGGACGCTTTCGCATTACGTCAGCTATAAAAGCAATCCCTGAACGATCATTTGGCATTTCAACGCGGTTCTTTCTTTCATCGATACGCCGGATTTCGCCGGAATGCGGCGCGCTAACCGAAGACGACGATTATCACAACGGCGTCAATTATTTCGACAAGACGATTTTACCGCTCAATCATTCAGCGCAAAACGCCGAGAAATACCTAGACATTTCGCGCGATAACTCGGTAACAATCGACGGCCGGCGATAAGTCAATTTTCTCGTCGTATTTTTACTGCCTCCGCTATCGGGACGCTCCATTCTTTTTCGCGCCTGATTAAAGCTCCCTTTTTTTAGCACGCTGCGGCGTCGTAATTCATCGCCGAGTCGGGAGAAATGTGTGCGATCCTCGATACGCCTCGGACTTAGCTCGGATAAATCTTAACAACTACAAGATACATCGTTTAAATCAAAAAGGGGGAGAAAATCCGGGACGAGGGCGTCGGAAAAGGGAAAGAGGGGGACGAAGGGCGGGAGGGAGGGGATCGAGGGTAGAGCGTAAAGGTCAATCGAGCGTCGGCCGCTCGATCGAGAAGGTACGAAGGTACGCGATTGAGCGCTGTGAGATACGCTTTATATCCCGCTTGCACTGTTGTGTTGTTGTTGTTGTTGTTGTACTTGACGAACGATCACGAAGGGACACGAGAACAAAGAAGTAAGGTACAAAAAAAGACGCGTTACTAAACGTTACGTCGGCGGGCTGTAACTGACCCGCTCGCTACTGCCACCGTTGTAGAGAACCCGGGTCCTTCCCACACGAGGGGTTGAATCGAGAGGGCTGAGAGGGTCGCGGATAGGGTTTGTCTATGTGTGTTTAGGGGGGGGGGCGGCGGGGGGAAAAAGGGTGGAGGGGGTAGGGGTGCTTCGTTTAAGAAACAAGCTTCCGCCGTGCTGGATACAACGATAAAAACGACGGCGCCGGATAAGCGCCCGCGGTGTTTTACGCGATAGAAACTGGCTCTGCTGCTTGATTAGCTGGGGATTAATTAACGCCCTGTTTAATGGGGTGCCCTGGTGGCCGAATCGACGGAAGGTCGACGACCATCGACGTTAGCGTGACTATCGCGATCGATCCTGAAATTGTGCGCTCCTTCACCCCCGACGAAGAGAGAGACGCCGATCGCATCTTCGCAGGCGAAGGGAAGAGCGGTAAATAGGATTCGATCGGCATAGCGGAGAGAACGAGTGCTCCCGACGCCACCCCCTCGTGATTAATATCGGTCTGCGGTCGCGCTGGGACACCGTCGCTAACGCGGTCGACGACCTCTTGAGGATCCAGCCGATTGCTGTGCCTTCAAAACATCTATCGTGTTACATGGATCGCTTGAGGAGCAAAACAATGGATAATATACATGGGCGGCTGCTGACCGCACGAACGGCGTTTCGGCGTAATGAAGAGATGTTGACGTTCGAGTGACCGGAGACGAAAACTAGCGATTCGTCATCGCGCGCGAATACCGAAAAGCTGCAGAGCTGACCAACTTCTTCTCGAAAATCCAGTTTCCACGATTTACGTCGCGTTTCTCTTATTGGACACAGTCGGAACATCGAGATCGGTTTCCGAAACGCCGGTCGTCGGCAGCCGCGCGAAAAGTCTGTCATCGCTGCCGCGATGATCGTACGATCGTCACCGATGAGTATTTAACATAGGATCGTGACTGGTTCAAAACGGATGTCTAAGCGTGTCCTTGCCTATGAAGAAGAATGGGTCCGATCGACCGGAGCTATTAAAACGTGTTCCTCAATTTACAGAAAAACGTATATACGTCTACGCGGTATGTACAAATATGATTCGCGCAATCTATATACAACCAAATTAGAATTACGATTTATTTAACGTTGGGACGCATCGTGGTAAAGCAGCGTAGCTGGCTCCGTGGCTCGGCGGGCTCTGCTGGATTTAGCGTCGACACGCACTGATTTAGATCGCGCAATTATCTAAAAGACGTCCAAAATGTCTTCCACGACGTATTTAGAGGTCTTTTAAATCTTTCCGTCTTTCATGGCATCGTGTAATTCGGCTAATGTCCAAGTGCTCAGTTCTGCCGGTGCGAATAGACGGCTTATATTTAACCCGATTATACTTGCACCGGAAACTTATGCCTTTCACGGGATTAACTTGATTCACAACCTCCGACCTCCGTCATTTTCAGCAAAATCAATGGGCGCCATTCGCGTTCGCTATAATTCGAGAGAGCTGTTAGACTTCGCTTACACGTTCCTTCCCATTTCCTTCATAACGCGTTCCGATATCTTCTTTATGATCGTGCGTGCCTTGCTACAACGCACCTTCCGCACACCTGCCAGGAAATTTGTTACTCCCGGAAGAGCAAGCGTGCGGATATGGAGAGTAAAAGTATTTTCACAATACTCACAATCGCACCGTAGCTTGTCGTTCAATGCACTCGCAAGTCAAGTGTGCCACGCACGCAAACACATTCGAATTGCGGCTGTTCGCACGCTAGCGTTACGAAAACGAACAAATGTATCGATGGATGTTCGATTGAGTTCGGCAGTCCTGTAGTTTTTATGGTCCACGAAGTAGAATTGAAGCAAAAAGGAGGAAATTAATGTTATAGCAGGAACTCGCAGTCTATATTTCCACTGGAATGAATTTACGTAGCATTCTGCACAGCCGCGTACGATCTGTCCGTCGACCTCCCGGTGATCACGTGGATTCACCCGGAATAGCGAGTTACTGAAAAGTACGACTAAAGGAACGCGGTGGAATGATTGTGGAATGACGAAAATCCCGGGAACGACGAGAGATCGAAAATCGATGCGGAGATCGATCGTTTCGCGAGTTTGAGGACTCATGAAGAGGAGCAAGAATCAGACGTTGATCTACGGAGATCAAAAAGTATCAGGAGAAATCGATGTTTGAGAATATATTGACTGCTCTTTCCCGTTTACCTCCTCTTCCTATTCGGCTTAGAATCTTTCGTTTTGCATCATTTCGTTTCTTTTACGATTTCGATTACGATCACGCAGTCGCGTTTATGAACACATATATTTTTGATTGTTAATGTCCGACAAGCTGCCGCTTTGTACATGAAGAGCGTCAAAAAGTAACATCGAAATCTCGTCTGTCGATTTTCTGGAATTTCCGAGGAGAAAGCTAAATTCTAATATAGAAAACGAATATTTAACTCCAGTCTACAATATATATCCACGTGTGCACATGTTATACGAAATTATATATATATATGTTATTAATCATCATCATTGAATTTAGTACCTAAAAATTAAAAAATTGCTATATAATCTAGTTCTTTCAATTTAGTCCAATTTGTATAAATAACCGTGATTTTCAGTAGCAAAAATATCCAAAACCAGATATTTCGCGTAAGAAGTAATTTTGGCAAAAATCGAAAAAAATTAAGCAGATAAAAATAATAAATGTAGAGAAAGAAACGACAAGTTATATAATCAATATAAAAAAATTGTGATACAAAAAGCTAACTTAAAATATAAACCGCCAAAAACCGGATTATAAAAAACGACAGTTCTTGAAATTATATTCTTAGAGCGTTTATAGATCTATTTGCTTCAAATGATATTTAATGTACAACTTCCAGATATATAAGAATACATTTCTCGTATATGGACGCGAATAACATTCGTTCACAATGTATGAACGTGTCTCATCTTCAGCGAAATATAATCGTTCTGAAATATAATCGTTCTTTTTTTTACAGATGACAATCGATTAAGGCTACGCGATGATGAAAAAGGAACGTACGAGTGTCATTTGCGAAACCGATAATTATCATAACGAACTTACGGGGATATTTAACGACATAACACGACGACGGCGATAACAATAATGATGATGACGATGTGATGAGGATGATAATGACGGCGATGTCAGTCAACCGTCGTCGTCAGTAAATATTCGATCGACATTACATACGTATGCACACATATATACGTATATCGTAATAAGTAAGTCGGTATTATGTACGTCGTCCGTTGGTTTTGCATTTGACACAGGCAAACCGCCCACGGTTGAATCTCTGCGCGATTACGTGTATGTGTATGTAAGTATATGCTTTGTGTTTCGTAGTATCTGAAGCGACAGCGATCCCTTTGCCGCGGTTTTGCATATGATCGCGGTAAGATAAATAATACTTGCACATATATGTATAGAGATTTAGTCTTTTCTTTACTTTTAAATCACTGTACTGTACGTATACATAGAATAATTTTCATATATCGGTATATTTATATTTGCATATGTATATACATATATATATATTTTTATGTCTATATATATTTATATGTAATATGGATCATCAAATGTCTTGGAATACTTCGCGTCTCTGAACAGCGGTTGTGTGTATGTATGATGTGTATATATCATTGTCGTGTCCACGTCCACCGTACGTATGTGTGTGTGTGTGTGTGTGTGAGGATAAGTGTGTCCATACCTATGTGTACTTCACACTAGCATGTGTATTCTAATAGTCCCGCTCACCTTTATAACAATAACCACATAATAATAATAATAATGATAATAATGATGATGATAATAATGATAATCACTCTCCGGCGCCAATCGCTATCGCGTGCGTAACGGCCGCAACGGCAATTAACGCACGCAATCAATGAACCAGTTAATAAATGTGCTTACGCCTACATCTACTTAATTATACAATCGTGATGATAATCATCGTAATCACTGGCATGCTTGTTTTCGGTTCTCCCGCCGCCGCACGATCGACGGACGCGTTTCCTATCGATAATGCACTAACGATCTATCGTGGGAGGGGCGGAAACTCGACGCTCTTTTCTCGCGGAACGAGCACCGCGCAATAGACTTCGCTTCCGCGAAGGACAGAGAATATAATATTTTCGATCAAGCGTCCAATATTAAGCTTTCGGCGAAGACTGACCCAACTGTTCGTTCGCGAATGCCGTAAATTATAAACGAATCGTAAAAATACTTGTCCGACAAGAATTTCGTTCGCCTGGACAAATATTTCTGGCACGTGCCAAAAGCTTTTTTTTTTCATTTTAATTTAATAAACGTTTCTATGTCACTTTTATTCCGCTTATTCTGCTGTCTGGCGCCCAATATGCGGCGAATATTTCAGTCGACCGTGAGTGAATTAAATTATCAGGTGATTTCGCAGTCGCTGTTTAAATTACAATTTTATATTAATACCGAATAGCGGCGCGCTATTCTTCAAATCGTTCGCCTTGTTTCAAAATATATTGAGAAGTTGCAACTTTTTTTTAGAAGCGATTGGCGAATAGTAGTTCTCGAAGGAAAAATCTGACGGCAACGTAGAGTTGAAATCCGTAAGAAAAAGATTCGCAAAGTTATCGATTACTATTTAATTCCGGCAATCGCTGAATTGTCGTTCTGCAAACGTAAACTTTCGACGAAAGATTCCTAATTGCAAAGTGAGCAACGTGCTCTCTCGCGGGTATAGCGAAGGAAAAAAGCTCACACAAAGGGCGCCCGTTTCTCGTTAAAGTTAGCCTTCTCTCAATCTCCCTCCGAGCCTTTCTTAACGTATAAGCCTTACCAGCCCTTGCACAAACGCTTCGTGCTTCGAGCCTCTCCTTGCTGCTTTACGACGATCACCTCGGTACTGTTTAACCTCGCGTACCCCTAACTTCGCGTTAGCATCTTTTTTTTAGTTTTCCTTAAGAGCATATAAAAAGTCGTGTGGCACATTGACGGTTGGAATGTTATTTTGTCTTCATTAAATTTATAATAAGAATCATAATAATTAATAATAGTAGTAATATAGTACTTTTTTTTCGGTGTTATTAATAATATTGTTTTATGTATCGTTTAATAATAATAATAATCATAAGAATCATAATAATAATAATTAATATATTTTATATATAATATACCTTTCTGTTTATACTATAGTAGTTTGTTTCCTCTGCACTTATCGTTTATATTCTGCGCTGACTGCGGGTTTTGATTTGTAGGAAATCTCGCCTGGCCTCGCAATGTCGCGATCGATTATTCGACTGAAAGATTCAACGTCCCTTCGCCATTGTCTTCGTCGCAATCGCGCGACAGTTTTCCGAGCGAAAATTCGAACTTTCTCGTCGTTGTACCCCCGACGCGTCTGCGATCGCGAGATTATCGCGAGATCGTCGGCCACAATCCAGGCCGACGATTCGCCCGACAGCCGATCGATCGCGATTCGAGGCCGAGGCGATCCTTGTTTTTTTTTTTTGCATTGCTCTTCGTGGCATCTGCATTAGCGTAAATCACTGCTGGATATATGTATATGACGTAGAGACTTTTAGTAAATCTGTACCTGTTTATTTATTTAATTATTATTTTTTTTCCTATTTTCTTTGCTTTGCCGCGCGGCGACTGTTGCGGACGCCGCGCGATCGCCCGTGGCGATCGTGGTCGCGGGTGCCGCGCGATCGCTCGCGTGCCCATGCTGAGAGAAATGTTCTATTGTTGCCTGTAGTGTGTATGTGTTGTTGTTGCCGGTTATTTTGTTTTGCTTTGCTCGTTGAACACCGGGCGAGTATGCAGCCCGGTGTCGCGCGCGGGCGCGCTTGTCCGATCCGGGATCGACGATCTGCCGCAATCAAGTCGCGCTCTCGATCTCTAATCTACCGATTGGACCCGAATCAAGGTTCCGAGTCTGTTTCGGAAGGACGGATGTCTCGAGGTCGAATGAACCGCACAAGTCAGTCGTCGCAACGATTAGAGCGTGATTGATCGCGAGTTTGAGTCGCTGAACTCTCGTTCTGGATTACGCGTTCTCGAGAACATCCTACGTCCCGCCGTCAACCGACCGGTTCCTCGTGATATGCTCCGTTGTCAATTGGTCGTGCTAATCGTCGCGCGTATCTAGCGATCTTCGCTAACGCGATCGTGGCGCACCGCCGATCCCGCCCTGACCGCCCGTCTTATTACTGTAAGGAGACGACTGGTATCGGGAGGCTGTTGTTGTAGCTGTAATGTTATAGAGAGCAGACTGCGTGTACTGTTATTACTCTGGTATGCTGTTTCGCGTATCCGCCGAGTATGCGAATGCGGCCGGGGGGAGAAAAGTTAACTGCGGGGTGAAAGTTGCGTTGAGAGCAGTAGGTTTTGCGCGGAGGTTTTCGTTGGCGGGGTTCAATCCTGTTGTAAGGGTGGTGCGGAGGAAGGGGCTCGGGGACTTTCCGAGGATCGGATGCTTAGTTTCCTTAATTTATCTCTCCCTCGATTATAATCACTTCTTTTTTAATTAATCGTTAAAATCATTGTTGCCCGTAGAGAAGACCCGGCCTGATCGCCGCCTTCAAATCGTCGTCGCCGAGACCGTGCAGCGAAAACCGCGCGAAACGACAGAACTTACGCGTTTTCTTTTTCTTCTCTTTCAGCGTGTGTGTGTCTTTTGATTGATTTGTTACCGGCGATTCAGCGTACTTGGTCCGTAAACTAATTGGTCGTACTTTGAAATTCCGGCGTACTTCAGGTTTTGGTACTGTCATTTGATTAAGAGTACCGACGACCGATCTTCCGAAAGATAATGCAATTTTATCAATTCTTGTACTTCCCGCACGCTAGTGTCTCTTTCCGACAACGTAAAAAAGCCAAAAGACGTCTCAAGAGCCGTCTGAAGATTTTTACTCGAATTGTTACGTACTATTTTTTTCGTCCGAATTGCACAACGAAATAAAGTGACAGAAATATTTAATCGGATAAGATTAATTTGGCGAAATATTCAAGACTATTTGGAGGAAAATTTGTTTCTCTTCGACAATATCGGCACTCGTCGTCGACGAATAAGTCCGTTTCGGCAACGTGGTTCGGCGTATCACGATCTCGGCGATTTGCACAATCAGGCCGGGTTCCGGCGATAGTGATAGTATATAGAAAAGAACACGATATATAAACAATTAAAGCGCCAAACTACGAGTACCATCGGTGCTAGCTGCGTAGTACCAGCGCCATTTACCTAATCGCTACTAGTCGAAAAGTCTAGGCTCAGTTGGTGCTGCGAACGCTCGTCTCTGATCGGCCTCTTCGCAAGAATGAGGATCTGGCGACTGTCAAATTTCGATGTCTTTTTTTCCGCCAATTTTCGATATTTATAAAATTTTCTATATTAAAAAAACTTATATACGAATTTGCAAGATATTGATATATATAATAATCTGCGATAATTTCTTTACGTATAATCTTATTATACATATATGTTAGAATTATATGTTGATTGTAAGAGACATTTAATTTGGCATCATATCGGAATTACGCGAAATTCATTTCACCTCTACGATTCATTATATTCGCAAATTAACGAGTAAACCGTTGCGATTAGTCGATGCAATTCAATAATTGCACGATAATTTATCAAAACGCCATTTTGTAATACTTTGCTTCTCGCAATTTAAGGTACGGCAGTTTGTATTCATTTAAGCCGATTAAAAATGTTCAGAGCGGACCGAATTCTGACGCCTTGGGAGTATCCGTGCGGCACGGGAAACGAAAAATAGAAAAAGGCGAAAATATACAATCTCGCGGAGAGCTCGTTCATTTCCAGCTGTCGCGAGTCACACTTAGAGATACATACTCCCGACAGTCGCAGTATGAGAAGCTTTCGTCTTGCGTCGTGGCTCCTCGGAGACGAGATCTCAGCACCAGTTTCCCCATGTTGCCATTCTCGCGCTCAAATCTTCCGACTTGTTCGTATATCTATCTACCCTATCTACGATACATGTTCATCGTCCGACGTCGAGACGACGGCGGCGATTCGCCCAGTTGAACACAATTCGGTCGATACTCTGTTTCTTTTTTTTTTCTTTTTTTCTTATTTATTTTACGGTCACCACGCGTACGGTCGGTCAACGTATACGATGCTGCTCGTTCGTCGAGCTTTTTTTTTTATGCCTTTAGAGTCAATGTATGACTAGAGCCTACAAATTACAAGCTTATTAAAGCCGATCAGGAAGGTACCAAGTTCTCGACCGACGACGGGGAAGACCATCTCGATTTGCTACATTGGTTCAGGCGCATTCGCGCGGACTTGCCGGACTCGCAAACACGCGGATCTCCCCTTCGCGAGTTTTCGGTTGTATATATTTTTTGTTTGTTCTATTCATCAGTGGCGTGAAAGGAATATAATATTCCAGAATTTGTCCTCGTAATAAATGTATAGAAATAGGCAGTAAATGTAGACAGGTCAATTTTAATCAAGTAGATATTATTTCTTTCAATCAGGTACTATCTTTTTCAATCAAGCAAGTGTTGTTACTCAATCAAGTAAATATCAAATTTAGTGACATATTTAGTAATTATTTTACGGTAAGAATCCAATATTTTTTTTTTTACACAAAAAAATGTATTCTGCAATTAATATTTTCTAAAGCAAAAACGCGCAATACACAAATATCGCAAAACACACTAATTTCGATGATTAAATATATTTCAAAATTAATATAGCTTCTTGATTCTATTAATTTTATATTAATAATTAATTCCGCATCGGTTGACGACACTTGCGTACAAATGTGTAATAAACGATGAAATATAAAAGAACAGTCACGTAGTGATATCCGCGTAATCATTGTTCTCGCGAGCATAACAACGACGAGTATCATCGCGTTCATCCCTGAAATGTAATTCGTGTGCGATCGATATCGACAACGAGCAATGCTCGTTATATATATCGAGCGCAACGATAACAGGGAATAGAAATGCGCATATCGCAGCCGGGAATTTAGATTAAACACAAAATAATTTTGTTGCATTATCATTTGAGATAAATTGCGAGCGATTTCGGGGAGGGAAGATCTGCGTGCACGCGAAGGCAGTGCCCTTTCTTTTCGTCGAATCGACGTCGGTCGCTTGATTGTGTACACATGTACTTGTGTCCCGTGCGTGTATTCGTGTGTGCGTGTGTGTGTGTAGGTGTGAAAACCGTGTATCCCTATATGAACGACAGGCCAGCTCTTCGTTGATCACGAAAATCCCAACATTCGAGAATGCGATGAATTGAAAATAGAATTTAAAAAACGGTAACCTAACGCGTAACAGTTCGTTTTACTCCATTTTTCCTCGACGTGTCTCGCGTGTATGTGTATGTTTGGAGCGTGTCTGTGAGTGTATGCATGTGTGGATCGTGTTCGTGTACCTAATTGCACTTATTCGAAAAAACGGAACATAAGGTCGAACGCAAGATGGCGGCCGGACGGCCCTGGAACGTATGGTAATAAGGTAATATACACCCTTGTTTAATTTATACTTTAATAAGAAACTTTATACACCGCTTTTGTCTCTATCGCGTTCGCCGGTCAAGCGCGCTCGAACTGAATCGGTTTGCTGCTACAATACTCTCATCTATTTTCGTTCGTGCTACTGCAAGTCGTAAAAACGTAATCTCATAACTTAGGCACAATTTGGAACTGTTTAGACCATTTTCACACGATCCCGTCTGCTGACGTCCGTGTGTCCGTCGATCGTGAAAGCAAGATGATTCCCATTCGCGATATCAATGAATTGGTGATAAAAGTAACGCGAAAGAAATAAAATTGCTCGAAAACGAAAAAACCAATATTAAAATAAAACATCAATCAAAATTATTAAAATCAAGTATCCATCTTAATATTCTTTTGTAATTTAAAAACTCTTGAAATATTTTTGACAATTTTTTTCAGACGAAACAAATACGTAATACTTTCACTATCAAAAGTAAAGTTTTCGGTAAATATTTTTTTTTTAAATCAGATATCTCTTCAAACTTGTGGATGAATGGATATACAAGTTGAGGAAAAAAGAGCACATGTGTTGTCGGCATGTAAATAAGATTCGGTCATTCGAAATTCAATAAAACGAATCGCAAACATCTCCTTCGCATCCACGCTCGTGACACACGAGCGTCTCTCGCTCGAACCATACCAAACGTGACAATATTGTGAGGTAGCTGACATTGAGCCGTTTCAGGGCCAATCGGACCAAATCTTCCAGTTTTCCCATTATCCGACTCGCGCCCGAATCCTATTCGTCATAACGAGACGAGGATGCACGCCCGAGATGAAGTAGATCGATGGATTCTGTCTTCGCGCGGCCTTGGAGAGGGCCCGCGAAAAATTCGGTTCCCGTTCTTCCCCCTCCGCCTCTCGCGACGAGTGGAGAAGGAGGACGAGAGCGAGGCTCTCTCCGTTCCTTCCGTTCTGCCGACCGAGGCCCGATGAAAGCGGAAGGAACGCGCGCGCGAGAACGTAGAGGAGGCGTGGAACGAAAGCGTAAAAACGGGAATCTTTGGACTCGACTTTCCGAACGATGCCCGCCATCTTGGTCCCGTCTGACCACCGGTGTGGATCAACGTAATTTCACGATCACTTCTGTCTCTCTTTCTTTTTACCTATCTATCTATCTCTCTTTCTCTCTTTCTCTCTCTCTCTCGCTCGCTCTCTTTCACTCTCTTTCTCTCGCTCTCTTTCTCTCCCTCTCTGTTTTCCTTACTTGCTCGTTTTGTCCCGTTAGCTCCCAGTTTGCCCTCTTTTACTCATCTTACTTTGTCTTCACACACCGTAATTACAATAGTCTTTTTCTTTATATATATATATAATATATATATATAATATATCCGTAATCTTATTACATATACACTAGCTGGTTACAATAATTTGTGAAAAATATACATCAAAATTTTGTTACTTTTTACATCACAGATATTTTAATATAATATATCATCTTTTAATTCTTAAAGATTTCTGTTCCTCCCCGTATATTCGACCAATCCGTCACTCGCCGGACTGTTTAGCGTATCGCCCGCGACGAAGAGAGGGACGACAGGATGTGCGCAGGCGCGAACGGACCGAAAAAAAAGGATACTTCTGGAAATCTCTAATTGTAAAGGGAACAAAATTACACATTAAGCTCTCTTCTATGCATGCGTGCGTGCCGCAGCACGATAAGTGTCGTGCGTTTAAAAAGACAACAAGATTTCTAAAGCAAATATCCGAAAGTGAAAGCAGACTTTTCACAGATGTCTCAATTTTTCGAATGTTTATTGAAATGTTTCTCGCATGTGATTCTTTCAATACTTGTGTGTTCACTTCGAATAACTTCAAATTTGCAAAAATAACAAATTGAATTAAAAGTGGATTTTCCATCGTTTTTCTATGTCTTTGAAAGCGAACGAAAATTATCGTCGTGCGATCCACGATTGCGAACGCATGAAAGAGACCTTAGATTCGATTTCCCAATAACGAAGAACAATATGATTTCGACTTGAAGAGACTTCTGTCGCGCCTTCTGTCCCGCCGTCTCTCCCAGAAAAAAAAAAAGAAAGAACGAAAAAATCGACAGTGCTTCAACAATCGCGTCTACAACGGTACCTGCCTCGAGTCTTCTTTTATTTTCCTCTTTCCCGACGATCGCGCATCGCAAATTTCTGGAACGGGAGTCTTATAGATTTTATGAGAAAAATTGTCGCGAAAAAGATAGACAGATATATATATCTCTCTCGACGTCGATGACTTTCTTTTTTCCGTATTGTGAAGATTTTCGGCTTTACCGCGAGAGAAACTAGTGGTGTACATATGCGCGTCTAAACTGCTGCGGCAGACACGTCGACGTGCTGCTGGGAGATCGTTACGCGAACGTCTCGTTAATTACGCCGTCAGCGCGTCGATCGTACTAATTGTCGCGATTCAATCGTCCCATCCTAAACTATGTGGGCGAACCTCACACGTAAATCCTCAGTCCACATCGTTGAAAATTTCTTTGGTTGCGATGAATGAATGTCACACGACTGTTCGACATAATTAATAATCTCGGTTACGTCGAGTTTAATTTTTATCATGTTTTAAATTTACGACGGCTAGAAACGTCGAATTTTTTTATATTTTTAAAAAAATACAGTTAACCACCTATATAAAGAAATCGCTTCAACAATTTTCAACAAATTTGTACCTTAAATTATTATTTCATTGTATTTCTAAAGTATGAAAAATGTCATTATATTCATTATTTACACTTCTAATTTAAATTCCAATATATCAACGTATTCTCTCTTCTTCCAATTTCCGCTGGCCAAAGTTACAGGTACCATAATACATTTTATCGAAAAAAAACCGACAATAATTTTCTGCTAGCAAATCTGCTTTGATCCAATTACGAGTGACACAAAGAAGACAGGTGTCCATAGCAACCGCGAATTATTTTCGGCGACGCGGACGTCGGATGCCGATAATCTCGTTTGTCCCAGATTTGCTTCCGCGCTTTCTATTTCTGATGTATCACTTTTCCTTTCGCGAGAAAAAAAAAGAAAAAAAAACAGACGAAAAACGTACCGCGTTGCACCCGATGGATCGTGAAGATTTGAGATCCGCCGATTATAGACCGCAATAAATGTCGCGACGAAATATCGTAACCGTAATTGAATTAACGACAATCATAGTGTACGCACGTTTACTATCATCCGCACGATAAATATCATTTTTTTTCACATCTAACGATAAATCTTTCGATAAAGGGTATCAGGCTTGAATTTCTAGGTGTGTCAGTGGATGCGAATTCGCGGGTATAAAG